AAACACCAATTACCAAAGAGAAGAAAATTACTTGTTGTTGTGGTTATCAAAATGTAAAATAATATTAAATTTCTTTGGTACATACATACATACATTTTATTGGTTTTGTGATTACATTCTGCAACAAGAAACCAGTTCTGTGTTTCCATGGAGATCAATGACATGTCACAAACCCTCTCTTACAAGGTGTTTTTCTTTTAGAAATTTTAATATGTTATCACATTTAGCATCAGCAGCTTTGGTTAAGAGTTTTTCTTTATTTAAGCCTCTTTCTGTCATGTGCTAAGCAACAAAATTAACTTGCAAAATGGTTACACTCACCAAATTTTGGAAATATCTAGTGTTCTCTAGTATAAGTGATTGAGATATTTTGCATGCAAAGATGTTCTCTGTGATCAATTTTTACAGACAATACCTCTGACAAAGTTTATATCATGATGGAAGTTAGACTGGAAGCTCTGTTTAAAAAGCCAGAAGAGTACACAATTTTAGAAAGGTTTGTAGTTTTCAGGATAGAGTTTCTCTAACATGATTTTTGTTCTTTGAGTAAGGATGTTTTACATGTAACATAGTTTTATGGTGTTCTCCAAATCATATACAGGTAGCATACCTTNTGTGCTGTCCTTTGGCATACCATGCCATACTGTATTATCGTCATCTTTACATTGTATGGACTACTTTGCGTTCAGCTCTGAGATATCAATGTTCCAGTATAAACCTTGATGAAGTTACTCTACTTTTAAATATATAAATGTAACGCTATGTCACAGTCTTAGATACAGTGTACAGTGAACATTTTGGAGACGTCACTGGATGTTCCTTTTAGCCAATTTACATGTACATGTGCTCAATACGAAACACTGGATATGATGGTTGCTCCAAAGCGTGGAAGTCTGTGCACTATGTCCTTTGGAATTGTCACCTTATAAATTCCCGAGTTTGAGTATTGTTCTGGGTTTAGAAACGTAATGATAATCACTCTACAGCTGTAATTAGAATCGTTTTGTCTTAGGATGATTACCGAGTGTGTTTAGCCAGTGGAATTCTACAAAAAGGAGGAAAACTACCTTGTCCTGTTGATGCCAGTGGAATGTTCACTGGTGATGTGCCAGATTTCAAGGGACAACACGTCAAGGTAACTGTGCTAGCAAACAAGCCAGTAAACTCTTCATTATCTGCAGCAGTGAGTGGCCTGAACGCTATGGTGCTTGCCATGTCCTATGCATTAAAATTTGCATTGAGTTTGTTTGTGTGAGTGACACTCCAACATTTTCTTTGACGTTGATATTGTGGTAAATTTAACAAATCGAATGTGGTTTAGCGTGGTCTGTACTCTTTTTCACCACAATTGCTACTAATCTCGCAATCTGATTGGCTAATTTGCCATTGTCGATAAGAGTCTAGACAACACTGCTCGCGTCAATGTGTCACCCAATGCCTTTTTCAGCTCGTGCTCTAAAAAAAACATTTTCTTTGACGTCGATATTGTGGTAAAAAAATTTTTTACCTCTGTGATGACGCTTATCGTTGTCTATAAGAGTACAGACCATGCTTAACCACATTCGATTCGTTATGTATCCCAGCCCACTTGTTCAACAGACTTTCTCTTGTCAGGATTTGTATACAAATACGTGAATTAACATGTTTGTTGGCTGTTACTGCAGGATGCAGATAAGAACATCATGAAATGGCTCAAGCAGGAGCAGAGATTAGTACACCAAAGCACNTATCGTTGTCTATAAGAGTACAGACCACGCTTAACCACATTCGATTCGTCATGTATCCCAGCCCACTTGTTCAACAGACTTTCTCTTGTCAGGTTTTGTATACAAATGCGTGAATTAACATGTTTGTTGGCTGTTACTGCAGGATGCAGATAAGAATATCATGAAATGGCTCAAGCAGGAGCAGAGATTAGTACACCAAAGCACTCACAAACATAGCTATCCTTTCTGCTGGAGGTAAATAACTTGATATGCTGCTGATCTTAGATGTAAATGTACGAAACCTAAATGCTCTGATAAGCCCCCAGGTGCTTTCTTTTAAAGTACATTTGACAAAGGGTCGAAAGGGATTGGGCTTGTTTCAAAGAATGATTCATCAGCTTGCGCACAAATGTAAGAGACTGATGTTTGTTTCCGAATGAACATAAGAGAATTCTTAACTTAAAAGGACTTAAAA